TTTTAACCCCATCCCAATGGATCATAAAGACCTTTGCCCCAAACCTTTCCAACTCATCCCAGTATCCAAGCCTCCACCACCAATAGGCATTCCCTGTGAACACTCAAACCGAGCAAGCCAGTAAAACAGGGAACTCAGAGCCATTACACTCTAGAAACCAAGGAATAGAATTCTCATGGAACAATGACAAACCCACCAATCAGCACCTAGATTTATAATCACTATAACCCAGATGTTTAGATACCAGCCTATGAACAAAATTAATTACAGCCAGGGCAATATATCTCTGCTAGAGCCCAGCTAGCCTACTGTAGCAGGCCCTGAATATTCCAACATAGATTAAGCACAAGAAAAAGACCTTAAAACTAACTATACAAAGATGATATAGGTCCTTATAGAAGAAATGAATAAATTACTTACAGAAGTTCAGAAAAATGAAAAACATTTGTAGGAAATGAATAAATCCCTTAAGAAAAGCCAAGAAAAAATTAGTTAAAAAAACAAATGAAACTGTTCAAGACCTGAAAAGGAAATAGAACCAATAAAGAAAACATAAACTGAGGAAATTCTGAAAATTAAAAATTTAGGAATTCCAAGAAGAACTAGAGAGGCAAGCTTTACCAACAGAATGCAAAAGATGGAAGAAAGAATCTCAAGCACTGAAGATATGATAGAAGAAATGAATACATCTGTCAAAGAAAATATTATATCAAAATTAAAAAAAGAAAAACTTCCTGACACAAAATATCCAGGGATTCTGGGATACTGTGAAAAGACCAAACCTAAGAGCAGATGCAGAGTCTGACAGCTAGACATTAAGCAGAAAGAGAATCTAAATGGGAAGTCTCCATCATAGCCTCAGATATCAGGGAATCCTGCAGAAGAAGAGACAGAACGATTGTAGGAGCCAGAGGGGATTGAGGACACCAGGAGAACAAGGTTCACTGTGTCAACTAAATAAGTCACATATGAGCTTGCAGAGATGGAAGCAGCAAGTCCAGGGCCTCCATGGATCTACATCCTGTCCCCTGCATATATAGTATAGCTATTAGCTACAGGCAGAGTTTTCCTGTCCCAACCACCAGCTTCCAAATAACCAAACAAAGACTTATATTTTATTATAAATGCTCAGCTAATAGCTCAGGCTTATTACTAACTAGTTCTAACCACTTCAATTAACCCATTTCTATCAATCTATGTACTGCCACATGGATTGTGGCTTTACCTGTCTTCCAGCCTGTCTTGCTCCCTCTTCCTCTCTTGGTGACTCTTCCAACTCCACCCTCTTTCTTCCCAGAATTCTCCTAGTCTAACTCTTCTGCCTAATGTCTCCTGCTCAGCTATAGGGCAGTCAGCTCTTTGTGAATCAATGAAAGAAAGACATATTTACACTGTACAAAGTTTGTTCCACAGCAATTATTACTTTTATGAGACATAGTATTTTTATGAGACTCTGACTGTGACCGTGAGTGGGTAGGGCTCTGACTCTTTTTGTCTACTATTGGGATTCTCCTCTTCCTCTTGAATTGATGTGTCCAACTTCAATATGATAGTATTTGCTTCATCTTCTTATATTTTATTTTGTCATATTTGGTTTTTATGTCTTAGAAGTGTGTTACTATCTAGTGAGAGACAGAAAGGGAGCAGATGAGGAGAAGGGGAAGTGGACAGGAACTAGGAGTAGATGGGGAATAGTCAAGATGTACTGTATTAGAAAATAATCTATTTTCAGTAAAAGAATAATAAAAAACCTTATTGCATTATTGTATATATATATTATATATATATATATATATATATATATATATATAATATATATATACAATATAACTTGCTGAGCCAATGTAATGTTACTTGTATGCATGTTTTCAGGGCTGACCATTTGGCACTGAACAACCAATTGGCATGCTCTTCCCTGAAGAGGGCCACCTCTCCCTTTCCCAGGTTTATTTGTCTGCCCATAGTTCTTTGTGTAGGGTGGAGACTGTGTGGAATATTCCATATTTAACATGTTCATTTCTGTCATCCTCTTTGAGTTCACATTTGTGTGTCATGCTGGTGAAGCTTGACAAGTATAACTTCTGATGTTACTAGGAGACATATTTTCCCAGCAAAACCCCTGATGCTCTAACCCTTACAAACTTGGCAGGCCTTAATGTTTTAAGACATTCCAAATGACTATTTTAATGTGATTCATTCATCCAAATAATAATTAATTGGTGAATTTTCCTTAAATTATTTTATTTCATAGTGATAGTTTCTTTCAAGTCTATCATGTTTTTGTTTTTGTCTTGGTTATTTATCATATTCAACCCCTGATATCCTTCTATCCTCATCCCTCCTCTATTCTCCCCACACTCTGCTTTTTTATTCTTCCTCAGGCATAAGGAGGTAAGAGTTTTAGGGTTTAAACTCTATACATTAATCTGAAAGAAGACTACTGTGAAAATACGTGTGTGTGTGTGTTTCAAGACAGGGTTTTTCTGTGTACCCCTGCTGTCCTGGCACTCACTCTGTAGACCAATTATTCACTCTTTAGGATAACTTGAAAAGTTCTGAGAAGACATGAATAAAGGATTTACACTTATAATAGCATATTGACAAGTACTAAATGTAACCTTTATTGGACCAGTAAAGTATAAAAACAAAACAAGGTATCTATTATTTGTCACTGACTTCTCAGTTTGTCTCAGATTTATATATTTAATATCCATACTTTATAGAAAGGAATTTGAAATTTTCTCTAGTGCTTACAATATACAAATTACTCCTTCAAAGGGCTGGTTTAAAAGTACTTACATTTTCTACGCTGTTCTAAACCATGTCCATTTGAAATAATCTTTAAATTTCCAAAGCATGAATGATATACAGAATACCCAAAAGTAATTTTTTGACACAGTTAGGATTATTTACTTACAATTATAAAAGGATTCTCTCCAACATTTAGATATCAAAAGAAAATATCCAATACACAAAAATATGTATAGAGTCAAATCATCACTTCAATTTTCAAATAGTCACCATGAATGCCCATCACGTATACCATTTTAAAATCAAATTTTTAAAATCATTTTAAATTCCTAGTTTATTTTACTGTGAAATTGTTCACCTTTATTAGCTAACAGAAAATATAACTAAATAGGCAGGGGATAAAAATTTTCATGCAAGAGACAGAAAAAGAAGCCAATATTTTAGAAATGTAGGAAATGGATAGTTCATAGATAATTGATGTAAATTGACACTGTTTTCTCAAAGGACAACTTAGTACAGCACTCATCAAAATTTTAAACTGGCATTTGCACTCAGTATTTTCACTTCTAGAATTATCCTACAGAAAACCACATATTCAAAGGAAAGTACAATGTTATACCCAATAAAAAATGAGAAATAAATAAATGTAGTAAAATAATAAGTGAATTAGGATATGTCAAAATAAACCTTTGCTGAAAGCAAAGTAAATCTTTATTAATGACTTTGCAGCAATTCTCAGTACATGTTACAGTAGCAAAACTCACAGAATGACACATTTAATGTATTATTTATCATCAAATGAGTCTATAAAAGGACATAAATGTACAAATATCAAAGAAATTATACACATATATAAAAGGCATCAAGGTTTAGCTACAATAAAGTTAAAGGTACTATGAAGGATCTAGAAAATATATGACTGGGTTGGAACTCTTAATACTCTTGCATCAGTACCAGAGATTCCAGGCATGGACCACTAGGCCCAGCAATGTCTATTTTCTATATTTCTTCTTTCAAATTAAAACAAAATGAAAAGAAAAAAATTCTTCTGTTTTGGATTACTCTTCAATTATATAGTGTTCAAACACTTGAGTAAAAGACTAGCTTTTCTATCTTTACAAACTCCATGCATATATTCAAATCATTTTAAAATAACTTTTTTAATAACTTATAAAGAAAATAGTTGCATAACTTCCTCCCTTCTTCTTTCCTCTGATCATTCCTGTTTGTTCCCACCTCTTTGGTCTTGCCTGAATATATGATCCATTTTTGTTTCTACATTTATGTAACCACATGACTGCCTGTGAGAAGAACAGCAAAATTATCACACATACGATGGCCCCAAACACAAAATGAGCTGACACAATTCTAGATGCCAGAATTATGAAATCAATTTAGTATTTACATTTTATAATTGACAAAATGTGTGTTTATGAGGTAGATGAGACAGATAAATTTTTAGCAAACAAGAATTTCTAGCTATTCTGTTTTCATCAGCAAGACATAAGTTAACTAAAGAGTTATCAATGTTGCTATCAAAATCGCCTTAACTTCTTGACATAAATGTTAATACTTAAAAATATATTTAAGAATCTACCTAAATCAGTCAATGTTTGTAGAGTGTCACTACTCTGGAAACAGCCTTTCAATTGCAAGATCTTTTGACAGCTTTCACTACAGTTTATGACTGACTGACTGTACAGTTCATCAGTAATTTTGATGGAATGAGGATCAGTTAAGGAAATAATTTGATAATTGCTCACTGTGCAATTCTTGCCACTAGATATACTAAGTTATATTTTGATTGGCATACACTTCATTTGGATTACATGTGTCTATGTGTCCTATTGGTCTTCAAAAATAAGTTCACTGTCAAACTTGTTTTGTTATTTGAAATGGAGCTAAATTATATCAGAACTCTTTAGTATAGCACAGAATATTAGGGGAAAGAATTCAAACCCATACTTACACCAACACTCCTAATCTGTATGACTATAATAACTAAGGACATTAATAATTTTTAGATGATTTGATTGCTCTTAAAACATAAATAAATGCCATCTTAAAACCTAACATATATAAACAAATATAATCTTATACAAATAACATTACACTTTAAAATATAGGAAATAAGATCAATGCTGATTTTCATTTTGCATTAAATGAACAAGAGCAAAGGATTCAAGTGGAAAAGTTTTGTGCACACTTAACATAATGCTTTCATAGTTCAAGATGTCTTTCCCTCCACAGGCTAAATGGGGTCCTTAGAGCATTTATTATGAGAATAAAGTGTCAATCAAACATTTAATAATGAACCTCAGAAGGAACTAATGAGAACGAAATTTCAAGGTGAGATTTTATCTTTGCTTTTATATAATTCTTAAAATTTCATTTTTGATAGTTTAAATCAGTATAATATATACATATAATATATATATATATAATTATATTTTGATATTTCCAAGTATTTCTAGGATAGTACTTCCTAGGTTAGCACATCATTCATACAAAATCTATGAGAAGATGGAGTAAAATCATTTAATACTAAATAAGGACATAATCTGTCCAAGTCCTCGGCATAAATCTTTAACCAAAAAGAATACAGCATCCATGGATAAGCCCCTCCCCAGTGATCTTTAATATATGTTAGGTCAACAGAAGAAAACAGAATAGAGAAGAACAGAAGTTGGGAGGTTCTAGTATAGTTGTGCACTCTTCAATATCTTGCTAGCAAAACTGAACAATTCAGCTTCCTTAGGTTTTCATGTGCTGACATTTATAAAGTTCTGCTATTGTCACGGAGATCCACTCCATCTAAAATGCCCACAGCAACAATGAGGACTCCATGCTACCACAGCAGGTGTTCCAGGAAGAATATGGACCCTGATCAGAGTATCCCATAGTTGTAAATGCCTATCACTGATCTCTACTTCTTCCATATCACCTCCTACTCAGAGGACACATGTACATTTTTATTTATGGAAAAATCAGTGTAATCTGGCGGCTTTCACTCCATCATTCAGCCTAATAATTGTAATTGTTATTAGCTGCTACACTACCTATGACAGTCTGGGGTCTTCTTGCAGTTCCTCTCTGGCGGCTGTCATGGCAAAGGCTCAAGGGTCTCAACAGAGTAAGACATTTAGAATTTTACAGAATAAGCACTGAGTTAACAGATGCTGTGAATCTTCAACCAGAAAAATGTAGAATACCGTAGGAATGGAAAAAGAATTTTACTAACACAAGTCTAAGGGTGAGAAACAAAGCAATAATGTAAATGAACTACAATTTATTACTAAGACATATCTATCAAAGAACATGAAAAACAGTCTCACTCTGTGTGTGTTTGTGTGTGTATGTGTGCTGTATTCTAATGAATGATGAGCAAATTTGTACACATGTGTGTAAGGTTATACGTGGAGGCCAGTTGTCACATTCCGTATCTTACTTGAATGTTTTCCATTTTACTTTTTTTTTTTTTGAGACAAGCTCTCTTAACCTGGAGTCATCAAATTGCCTAAACTGTCTGTCTTGCCAGTAAGGTCCAGGAATCCCATCCCCCTGTCTTTGCCTCCCTCTGCCCCAAAGGCTGGGGACACAGGTGCATGACATACTTTTGAAGCTTTGAAGTGGGTGCTGGTGAGCTGAAGAATCAGGTCCTCATGCTTGCACCAAGGGTGCTTTACCAGATGACCCATCTTCTCAACCCTTATCATCTGTTATTTGTAACATACAATAATAACATTGGAAAACTGAAGTGAATTGTTGCAAAATTATGCACCATTCAACTATAAACAGAAAGTCAGACACAATAGCATAAAAATAATGGACCACGTGTTCAGATGTCCCTAAAAATGGATTGACATGGTGTTTCCATTCACCTCATTGAAGAAAAAAATGGCATTTTGTAGAAAATTCCACTTTGGATATTGAATTGTGCAGTTTTCTCAAGCACATGATTTGTGGCTAAAAATGTTCTCTCATGATGCTGGGTGACGACAGCAAGCTGTAGCTCCCAGGTACCCAAAAGATACCAAGATGAACAAACCATGCTCCAAGGCCTTCTGTGTTGCTAAGACAGACTGCTTTGTAGGCAAGACTTTATAGCCATCTTATGAGGGTATATAGTTCTCGTGTAAGTCAGAGTACATCTGTATTTGAAAAGCTCATAAATATTGACAAATGGTTAGGTCACCTAGAAAACTTGACTATTCTGATCTTTTGTATACTGGAAAAATGCAGCGCTAATGAAAGTAAAGGAATAATATTAGAGTTGCAAGCAAAATGAGAAATTCACTCAGGGTCACAACATGCCCATGAAGTTTTTAACTGTATTGTTTCATATATTTATCAATGAATTCTATTCACGTTTCCTTCCACAAGCCCGTCTCTCATCTTCCTCTGAAAGTTTTCTTCTCCACAAACCCCCACCTATGACCATGTCTTTGTTTTGCTTGAAAGGCACTGGATTTAGTTGGAGGATCTGAGTTAGACTATTAAGTTAAGAGTATTAACCCCAGCATTTGTGGATGGTTGTTTACTGGAACAAAGGTGACTTGATAGAAGCTACTTCATACCAGCAATTGTTAATTGTCAACAGTGTGTCAAAGAAGATGGTTTCTCTTGATGTCCTTCTCTATCAATGGTGAAATACAGAGGGACCCAGTCTTGTGCAGGACATGTGAAGATAAGAACAGGTTTAGTGAGTTCATATGTCCAATGGCTATGTCATACACAAAAGACATCATTTTTCTGAACATCTCCCATCCTCTGGCTCTTACATTTTCTCTGCTTCCTTGTAAATGATCCTTCAAATGTGACTAAATCAATGAAGATATAAAAGACATGAAGAAGATAATTGCCAAACCTTATTTAATTGACATAAATAAAATGCTTCACCTAAGAATGGGAAATTATATTTTCTTTCAATTATGCATGTAATCTTATTAAAGAAAATATCACAGTATATTAAATACAGTTATTATATTAAAGATTTTTCCCTTATTATAAAATACTTTAAAAATTAATAGTAACAAAAATGTTATATCTTATAACATTCAGATCTTTTAAAACTACCTCTAAATAACTAGTTGTGATGATAGTTATAAAACATAAATTTAATGCAGATCACAATTAGATAATAATATATAATTGTATATTTAAAATCCATTAAAATGGATGAAGTTTACTATATGTAAATTGTACTTCAATAAAACAGTTAAGACTATAAGTAATGCTTCCTATCAAACTATGAGAAAAAGATAATTGAAGTACAAAAATTGCCCAGAGGAATAATCATTTTACAGCATAGAAATAACCAATAAATATGTAAAACATGGCTCACTCTCAGTACAAACAAGAAAAAAAAGCATAGTATAAGCAAAACAGGATTCATTTTGTTCTGGAAACATAGTACTTTATGCATGTGAGGGTATTCTCAAAAGAACATAGCAAGATAGATCAAATAGTACTTTTAAGGATAAAAATAGATAAAACTTTCTTGGGGGGAAATGGCATTATGTTAGAATATTTATGATGTGCCAGCAAGGAAGTTTCAGTGGCTAAGAACTCTTCCCACCAACTTTGATGTCCTGAGTTTAATCACAAAAATCCACATGCCTGAAGGAGGCAACTGACTTGTGCAAGATGTTCCTTGACCACACATGCCACATGTTACATGCCCCATCCCCAGATGTACAAAATAAAAAAAAAAAGAATACATTTTGTTCTGATGTTTGTTTCCATTTTCTTCAAGGCAGTATGCTGATAGCCTAGCTCCAAATTCTGTGAGAGATCCTTCCTCAAAAGCAAAAAGTGAAGGATGAAAGAAAAATAAATCTGTGGCTGATGAGATAGCCCAGGTTTCAAGAGCACTTGCCTAGGACTTGGGTTTGTTTCCCAAAACCTGTAGGATGGCACATTACTGTCCAGCCCTCTTCTGACCATTTTTGATCACTAGACACTTGTGGAGTATGTACACATACATGCAAGCAAAAATTCAAATGTATACAATGAATACATCTAAAAGTAAACTAAAAAAGAACAAGAACCCCAATGTCCTCTACATGAAATTACCTTTGACTCACCATCTGTTACTAGGCACTTAATCTTATTCTTTGCTTATAATGACATTTTTGTGTGAAGGCTTAACTCTTTTGCTTTTGTTTCTTGTTCCAAATACTTGCTTCTGATAATTTTGCTGGTTAGTTTTTCCCAACTGGACACAGACTAGAGTTACCTGGGAAGAGGGAACATCAATTGAGGAACTGCCTTCACTGGCTTGTGGGCATTCTGTGGGACATTTTAGTGATGTCAAGATACCAGCCCACTGTGTTCAGTAATCTCCTAGGTCAGGTGATCTCTGGTAGTATAAGAAACCAAATTGAGCAAGTGATGAAGGTGCAAACCAGTGTGTAGCTCACATCCATTGTCTGTAGTCAAAAGTTTCTCCAGTCCTGCCCAGTTCCATGGTCCTGCAGCTGCTTATAAAATAATCACTCAGAGGCTTATATTAAATACCAAACTGTGTGGCCTATAGCTCAAACTTCTTGTTAGTTATGCTCATATGTTTTTTTTTTTTTTTTTAGTTTTTTGAGACAGGGTTCCTCTGTGTAGCTTTGTGCCTTTCCTGAATCTTGCTCTGTAGACCAGGCTGGCTTTGAACTCACAAAGATCCACCTGGCTCTGCCTCCCAAGTGCTGGGATCAAAGGCATGTACCACCACATGTACCACCACTGCCCAACCTTATATCTTATGTTAGCCCAGTTCTATTAATTTATGTTTTCAACACGTTCCATGGCTTTACTGGTCTTCTCCTGGTATGTTGCTCCTTAGGCAGCAAGCTAGCCTCTCTCCCAACCCCTCCTTTCTCTTTCCTGTCTTCTCTCCTTGGATTTCCTGCCTGCCTGTAAGTTGCCTTGCCACAGGCCAAAGCAACTTATTTATTAACCAGTGGGAACAACACATATTCACAGTGTACAGAAAGACATGCCCCAGAAATTGTCTCTGCTTCATTTTCTTCTTCATTTTCTTGCCTGGCTCTGCTTCATGAGAGACTGTAACTCATAGCTGGAAAAGAAACTTCCTCCTTGCTGGTTGTCCTCAGCATTTTATCAGAGTTACAAAAATAAATGAGAGCAAGAATGAAGTTATTTTTCTATGCACATTTTTAGTGATTTGCTATTAAACGTTGATGGTGGATTTTGGATTAGCATAGTCAATTTTATGAACTTCAGTACTTGATATTATTTTTATAACAGCTAGCAGTTGTTGAAAAAACCAAACTATGTGTCATTAATCAACTGAACTATTTTACATGGGTTATTTTTTTCATTATTTTAGCACTGAG